TAGGAAGTGCAGTGTGGCGGAAATGGATTCTAGCCTCATATCGGATCCAATCCAAGAATTCAAGTTGTTAAGATATGGATATCAATCGTCTACTCTATCTCGCTTGTTCATAACGAACGCGTCATCGGTAACGCCAAAGCACTTCGGTGGACTGTGGAATCTGGTTAAAGCTTTCCATGTAGGTGTTAGAAGAAATTGGGGCTATTGGAGGTCTCATTGCCATACCTTGGTCTTGTGATACATAACTGAGTTAAAATCGAATTAGCTGAAGTTTTCAGCATAATCGGCGCGTTGTGTCCGTTCTTGATGACACCTTCATATCGTCTGTCGCAGGAATATCCGTAGTTGACTGTAGGGCTGAAGAAGGCTTCTTATAGCTCCATAGTAAGCCAAGCTGCTGGTTTTCAACAATGAAAAAAACACGAAATTAGGTTGAGTATGGACGATTCACCGGGAAGTGGCTTTCGCACAACTGTCAAAAAACCTGGCTAGCTCATGTGGTGGTAAACCCATGTCATCCACCAGTGAACTTGTGAATTTTTGGTAGCCCATAAAGTCATAACCGAAAGTCAAGCCAGACAGTTTATCACCAACTTCAACTTTCCTCTTACTGATTATCAACGGAGTTGTCACGCCGTTGATTTTTCTTTGAGGCCCATCAGTTAGGTTCTGTCTAACATCCTGCACACTAGTCACGTCATTCTGGCTGGAACACACCGCTCGGCGTCCAGCGTACGTTAAGGGACCGGTGGTAAAACGCCGACGATGCAGGTCGGAAGCTGAGAAGTTAAATTCCAGTCTCTACGCTTGCAAGCTTTAGTAAGAGCGCAACTCACGTTCCCCCTTCTCTTTGGTTTGAACCAACCAGACTGGTCGCGTTAGGTAGGACGATAACCGTTTTATTCACTTTGCAACTACTATATGGGTAGTTGATGCTAAGTGAGAACACTCTTATTGGTATTCTAGCAGATTACCTGGAAACGCTCACGAGACACAATCAATTAGATAAATTTTGTGAATAATGTCGTACTAACCACGGGACACAAAATCTTTATACTCACCTGTGTGTGATTTACAGTGCGTACGAAGTGACAATTAGCGCTAACACAGAGTCCTGAAAGTCAACTTTCTATAGTAGTTAGCGTTACTTGAGCATCTCTGCTCCTGTATGCATATTTCAACTCTGTACAGGTACTCAAAACTCGGATGTGTCTTCGAAAAAGTGGACAGTATTCCTCCATATTTGACTGCGCCAGGAAGCTCTACCATGAAAATGGATGGAGAATATTCTATCGGGGCTACGTGCCAAACATTCTGGGAATCTTACCGTACGCTGGAATAGAATTGGCTCTTTTTGAAACGTTCAAACAAACCTACGCACGATGGACTAGTAAGGATGGCAAAGAACCTTCCGGTCCGCCGTCTGTCTATGTGTCTGTATCTGCTGGGGCATTGTCCTCTGTCTGTGGTCAACTTGGCACGTATCCTTTGGCACTGGTTCGGACAAAGCTCCAGGCACAGACAGCAGGATCGGAAAGGGTGAGTGTGCATGCTGAACATACCGGGTAGTGCCAAAATTTTAGCCCGACTTTTGTCGAAATTTCACCAGCTACTTATCGGGTGGAAAAACACTGATCTTTTTAGTAGAGAATTGATAACCGTGTGTGTCAAAGTCACTAGTTTTTGTTTGTTTACTAACTCCTCATTGTTGGATGATCCGAAGACATTACAATAACATAATCTCTCTTCCTCCCGACGCAATTAACCTAGTGAATTCAAAGCCAAGCGGGGGGAGGAAGCACTTAACTCTCAGTAACGCACAGCCTTGTCCGAGCCCAAAAATGAAACCTCAGACAACTAAATTGTGAGGTGAGGATGCTATCACTACTCCACCGCGCTGAACGCAGCTTGCAAAGACGGATTAGGGCAAAACACTTGCTCTGCATGTTCAGTTTCCGGGGTTCAACTCGTGACGAAATCTTGTTGAGACCCCTAAGTCGTTTCGCTAGACCAGTAGAGCCGTTCAG